TTGGTAGGTTTTTTATTATATTTTCAATTTCATTTCTTGATATTGGGTTATTCAGAGTTTGTATATCTTCTTGACTCAACTTTGGCATTTCATGTGTCTTAAGAAACTATCCATTTCCTCTTGTTTTTCATCCTGTGAGAGTAAAGATTTTGGAAGTAGGTATTGATGATCTCTGAATTTCTCTAAAGTCTCTAGTGATATCTCCTTTTTTATTCTTTATTGCATGAGTTAAGGTTTTTTCTTTTTTTAATTAGGTTGGCTAGGGGTTTATTAATTTCATTTATTCTTTCAAAGAACCAACTCATTGATTCATTCATTCTTTATATTGTTTTCTTTGTCTCCAGTGCATTAATTTCTGCTCTAATCTTTATAATTTCCTGCATTGTTTGGGCTTTGGGCTTGACATGTTCTTTTTCTAGGAGCTTAAGATGCAGCGTAAGATCATTTATTTGGGCTTGTTCTGTTTTCCTAATGTGCAAATTTACCACTATAAATTTTCCTCTTAAGACAGCTTTCAAGGCATCCCATAGGTTTCAGTAAGTTATATCTGCGTTTTTGTTTGATTGTAAATATTTTTTAATTTCTTCTTTAATTTCATGTGTGATCCACTGGTTGTTTAGGAGTTTGTTTAGGAGGTTACTTATTTTTCGTGTGTTTGTGGTGTTTTTGTAGTTTCTTTTGTCAATAATTTGCAGTTTTCTTGTACTATGATCAAACAGAATGCATAGGATAATTTCAGTTGCTTTGCATGTACTTAAGAGTGCTCTCTGTGCTAGTATATGGTCTATTTTGGAGAATGTTCCGTGTGCAGTTGAGAAGAATGTGTACTCTGTTGTTGCTGAATAAACACTTTATAAAGATCTACTAAGTCATTTTCTTTACAAATTTGGTTTAGTTCTTTTATTTCTTTACTGATTTTTTGCCTAGTTGACCTATCTCTATGTGACAGTGGTGTATTAAGGTCTCCCATTACTATCGTATTATTGCCCATTTGATTTTTCATGTCCATTAAAATTTGTCTTATGTAGGAGGGTGCTCCTACATTGAGTGCATATATATTTATTACTGTTACATGTTCATTGTAACAGTTTCCATTAACAGGTATGTAGTGACCTTCTTTATGTCTTTGGATGATTTTTGATTTGAAGTTGATGTTGTCAGCAACCAGGATAACGACCCCTGGTTTTTTCTGATTTCCTGTGGTAAGAAGGATTGTTTCCTATCCTTTGACTTTTAGTCTGTGAATTTTCTTTGGAGTTAAGTGTTTCTTGTATGCAGAATGTTGGATTTTCTTTTTTTTTCTTTTTATGATAGGGTCTACAGGGTGTTCACAGTCTCACTACTAGTTCCGACTTGTAGTGATTCACCTGTTTACAGCTTCCCAAGAGCTGTGATTACAGGCATGTGCCACCATATCCAGACTCAATTGCCATCTCAGTGCACCCTGGGGGTGGGACCGGCATGGCAGTCCTGGGAATCAAACCCCTGCCCCCCGCGCCTGCTTGCAGGTGCTTTATGGATTTTGTTTCTTAATCCACTCTGCTAGTCTATTTCTTTTGATTGGTGAATTGAGGCCATTTACGTTGATGGTTATAATTGATATATATTGGCTTATCTTTGTCATGTTATTTTCCTGTTACAGGTTCTGTAATTTTCCCTCTTTTTCATTATTTGCTCTATTTGGTGGTTCCTTTATGTTGTTCTTTTTTTTTTTTTTTTTTTTTCCTTTTGGCAGAACCAGGGATTGAACTCAGGCCCTTGCGCTTGAGAAGGAAGCACTTATTCCACTGAGCCATCTCCCCAGCCCCTTTTTTATGTTGTTCTTGAAGCTGTGGCTGTTTCTGTTTTTTTCTAGAATATCTTTCAATACTCTTTGTAGGGTTGGTGTGGTGGTCATGAATTTCTTCAATTGTTCTTTGTTGTGGAAAGATCTTATTCTGCTATTGAATTTGATAGTTTTGCAGGGCATGGTGGAAGTTATTTTCTTTCAGGACCTGAAGTACTTCACTGTAGCTCTTCTTGATGGTTTGTGTTGGGATATCTGCCATGGTTGTGATGGGCTTTCCATTAGATGTGATCTGTTTTTTCTCTCTAGAAGCTTTTAATATTTTGTTCTTTTGCTGAATTTCTGAGATTTTTTTTTCCGGGACTGGGGATTGAACTCAGGACCCTGTGCTTGCCAGGCAAGCATTTATTCTACTGAGCTGTCTACCCAGCTCTCTGAGATCTTGATTATTATGTGTCTATGTGTAGATTTATTGTGATTATGGCTGTGTGGAGTTCTTTTTTGTATGTCAGGTTCTTTTTTCATGTTCGGGAAATTTTCTGCTAGTACTTCTGCAAAGTCTCCTGCTGCTTCATTGATACCCATTATTCCTATATTATTTTTCTTTGCATTGTCTTATAGCTGATGAATTGTTATTTACTGGTTCCTTGTTAGTTTTAAGAGATATTTTATTTCACATTTATTAGCTGCAACACTCTTTGAGGTCTGGAAGTCTATCTTCAGTTTCATTCAAGCGGTTTTGCCCACTTTCAGTTGAGTTATTAATATCCTGGATATCTATTTGAATCTGTTTTGTGCATTCTAATTCTTTCCTGTATTGTTCAATCGGTGTTTCTATCATTTTCTTTATTCTCCTCTGGTTTTTTTTTTTTTTTTTTTTTTTTTTTTTTTTATTTGTTTTTTTTTTTTTTTTTTTTTTTTTTTTTTTTTTTTTTTTTTTTTGTCTACATCTTGTTTAGTTGTGCTGAGCAGTTCTTGCACAATTGTCCTTTCTTTTTGGACCTGGCAGATAATTTCTGCTCTTATTCTTCTATAGCCTGATGGACTTGTTTCTTTACTTAGGTTGCTATCATTTCTGAGATTTCAGGTATGTGATTTCCAAGTTCTTGTATGTCTTTGTCCCCTGGATTTCTTCTGGGTGTGCTAGAGGATTAAGATTGTCTTTTGGTCCTGCATTTTGTCATTTCTGAAGCTCCCAATAGATCACCCAGATAAGAGTCTTGCAGGCTGCACGGAGTTTGCAGACATTCTTAAATGGCTCCAGGAAAGTTCCACAGCTGCTTGAGCTGGGCCCACAGATCGCAGTTCTCCTGAGTCCCACAGGCCACTCAGAGTTCTCCTAAGTTCTTTAAAGTTTGGACCTGTACCAGCAGAAGCTCCACACCTACGTGCTGGGGGCTAAGGAAGGTCAGAGCTTACCATAGTCCCACAGGCTGCCCAGAGTCTGCCAATTCTTAAATGGCACCAGGAAAGCTACCTTTTTTTTTTTTTTTTTGAGACAGGGTCTTGCTAAATTGCCTAGGCTAGGCTCAAGCTCCCTATCCTCCTGCCTCAACTGGCCACAGTGCTGGAATAAGAGAGTTTGCCACCATTTCCAACTTATTCTGGAAATGTGTACAAGATCTTTAAGTGATTCAAATGTGCAAAAGTACACAACCTTCCAGTGCAATCCATGGTGAGAATAAAGAAACAAACACATATCTGTAGATGTGGGGAACCAAGGGATCTGAAATTCAATTAGAATAATAGCTGAACAAGGCCTTGACCTGGGGCCAAAACTGGGTTATTAATTCATGATGAAGGGAGTAGCCCTGAGATAGTGACTGTGAAAATGGCTGGAAGTATGGAATTACATGAGTGCTGTGAGCTTAGCTAGGTAGGATGCCTGAAATCACCTCTACAATATGCATAGTGAGATATGCAGAAAGAGTAATCTACATATCATGGATGGAGGAAGAATCTTGTGTTTTGGAGTCAGCACTTCCAGCTTTGATGTCTGCTCTTCAGGCTCTGATATGTCATAATTCTTTCTCTAGCCTCAGTCTTAGCAGACAGCAGACTCACCCAGCATAGCTCATGCATACTACTTGGGAGCTATAGGTAGGCATCACTGGCCTATTGCATGCATTGCTTTGAAGGCCGCACATCAGTACCTCAGCTAGACCCATCTACACTGCTTAAAGCCAACTGAGGGGATAGAACAGTATCCTAGTCAGTTCTGTAAATATCAATACATGGAAATAGAGCCAGATTTAGCCAAAATAGAGACAAGTGCTCTTCTTTCAAGGAGAGCTGTCCTCGTTGTCCTTTACAGAACAAATTTTTGTTGTTGTTTCGTTTGAAATTTCTTTTTTCTTTTTTTCTTTTTTTGTATTTAAAACAGGGTGTACAGGGTCTTACTGCGTAGATCAGACTCATAGTGATCCTCCTGTTTACAGCCTCCCAAGTGCTGAGATTATAGGCACGTGCCACCACACCCCGTCTCAGTGGCTATCTCAGCGCACCCCAGGGGCAGGGCCAGCACAGCAGGCCTGGGGATCAAACTGCCAGCCTCTGTGTCTGCCTAAGCAGGCACATTAATCTGCTGAGCTACTTGGCCATCCCTGAAATTTAATGTACCATGAACTGACTGATACTTTGGTAAGATACTGTGAAAAATGAATTAGTATTAATATAAATAAAGTGCAAGCCCCAATGTCACTAAATTCAACCAACATACAATAACTGAATAAAATGACTATTAAGATGTCAAAATGTTTGCTCTTGTTTCCATGTTTGTTATCACAGATATGAAACAGAGTTCGTGCTGGCATAGTCTGTAGGCCAGACTTATAGTAGTGAGGGAGAAGGGAGCATAGCAAGAATCCTGTTGTAAGTGAAGGAAGCGTGAGCTATAGGAGGTATGTTGGGTTCAGAGCACATGAGCATTGAATGCTGGGATAAATAGCTTGGCTTTTGTCCTGAAAGCACTGGGGAGCTAGAAAATTTGCAAAGGAATAATCTAATTGGCTTGAAAATCAAGGGGGTTTGGAGTGGGGAAGTAAAGTAAAACATAACTGTATCAAGTATGTAGAGAAGTCACTCCAGAAATGTTGATAAACTCTTTAGAGAATATAAGAATTTAAGTTAGTTTGACTAGTCAGACGACTTTAAATCATCCCTAAAACACAATTAAAAGCTAAAACAAATCAAAACCTACCTAATGTGTTTTCAGAAACTACGCAGATAGAAGACCCAAGAAAACAATGGCGAGGGGAACAGGAGAAAATGCTCAAGGACTATCTCTCCGTGGCTCAGGATGCACTCAGGACCCAGAAGGAGCTATACCATGTGAAGGAGCAAAGACTGGCCTTGGCCCTAGATGAATATGAACGATTAAATGATGCTTATAAGGAAAAGTCAAGTTCTCGTACAAGCCGTAAGTACAGTGTGCTTGGTCAGATTCTTAAAGTATGATGCAATTACAAGTAGTAGAAGACCACTTCTATTTTGTATGAGAGGCAAGGGCGCCCTACAGATTTCTAAGTAAACTCCCCCCGCCCCATCCCTAGTCCAGAGTCTCCCCATTTGGGGTTGATGTATACCTTGTCTTTGTACTTGTCACTGCTTGATTGCCTTTTGTTCATTTGTGAATTAATTTTTACCTTTTTAGAGCAAGCCAAGTTATTTGGTCTTTTTGCTTCTCATGTACAATATTTTTAGTAAGTAAATACTAGAATTATTAGAATGAGGTTTATGTTACCTGCCACCTTGAGTTCACTGATTTTCTTTTTCTCATCTCATGCATTGACATTCTGGAGCTGACCTTGTTTAAAGAAGTAGCTATGATGAGCTGGAAAGTTCTACTTATAAGTTCTTGGACAATGGAAAGCCCTGAGAAGGTGCATCTGTACTGTAGTTCTCTAAGGACATAGTATTCGTACAAAAAAAAAAAAAAAATTGTGACTTTTCTTTTTCCTGAATATTTTTAAAAATTAGAATTTTGAAAATTACTTTATACCTAGGTGTCTGACAAAAAAAAAGGAATTAGAAAAGAAAGTAATATCCATAGAAGAATATGAATCTTGCTTTTAGAGTCAGTAAAGTCTAAGTTTAAAACTATTTATACAACTTAAACTATTTTTTTTTGTTGTTTTATTTTTCAAAAGTATTCTCAGGATCTTCATCCAGTACTAAGTATGATCCTGATATCTTAAAAGCTGAGATCTCTACTACACGATTAAGGGTAAGATTATTTTTATTATGATTCTGTTTTGATTATATGCATAGAATCTGAAGACCTTAACTGGTTATCTCACATTTCCATTTTATGTAGGAAACGTTTCCACTTACTCCTTCTAAGTGGTCTTTTTGCCCTTTGTTTGAACAAGTTCTATGTTTGGGATTATCTTTGTTATTGAGACAAAGTATATTAAGTCAAACTATGGGTTGTCTATTCCTCATATAAGTTGGTTTGTGATCTTTTCTTAAATCTTTTCAATACAGCTATTTTAAGGCTAGAGCTTATTTATCTTTCATTTTGAGAGTTTTATAGGCTGTTCAATATGCAGATTAACTCATGTAACTAATGCCAACATCATAAGATAATTAACATGAGCCTCCATGTGTCCCTTTATTGTACTTATTTACTATCCTCTTCCTAAAAGCAGTACTAGCCTCATTAACATTGTAGATTAATTTTTTAATTTTTTCCTGGCTTGAACTTTGTAAATCTGTAATGCTACTAATGTATTATTTGATAGCTTTTATTGGGGGGGGAGTTGGGATTTTCATTTTGGTTGTTTGTTTGGTTTGGTTTGGTTTTTTTAGGCATGGTCTTGCTATGTAGTTCAATTTGGCTGTAAACTCACTGTGTAGTCCAGGCTGGCCTTGAAAGGTAATCCTCTTGTCCTACTCTTCCCAAATTCTGGGATTGTAGGGATGTACCACCATATCCAACTTAATTGGTTCATTTAAGAACATTTCAAGATTCACACATTTTTATTATTATTAGCACTCTGTTTTGGTATACATACCATAAATTCTTTACCTTTTCTACTATTATTGTACATTGGAGATAATTGCAATTTCTGATCATTAAAAATTATACCCCAATGTACATATCTGTCATACATGTCTTTCTGGTGTACATAATATATGCATTGTTGATAACAGAGTGGAATTTCTGAATCAGAAATACACATATTTTAATGCATACTACCAAACCATATCAATCTTTCTCAATGTCTGCATTTTGGCTCTGAATTATTTGATGTACACAGCTTTTGCCTATTTTTTTTTTTTTTTTTTTGGTATTTTTAATATAATCCATCACCAAATACTTATTTTCTTTATGGTTCCTCATATAAAGATATTGTTTAATTTTCAAACAGCTGGAGACTTTATCATTTATTACTGATTTCAGCTTATTCCATGTATATTTTTCAGTTTAAAAATTTTACTTATTTTTGATTTCTAGTCACTCAGAAAAATCTGTACATTGATATATAGTATTTTGATCAAAATAATCACAGTATTTTTAAATTCCATTAATATCTACATTTACTGTGTTGGATTCTTTGGTCTGGTTTTTCATCAATTCTTGACCCATACAGTTGCCTTGAGAGTCATATGGTATCTAGAGAAGAGTAGATAATTTGAGTCACTGGATGATCTTGTCATCTTTCAGCATTTAATATTGTTTCTCATAGGCAGTTGGGCCAGGGACAGAGCTTTAATCCAACAATCAGAGTTGAGACTAACGAAAATAAGCGTTTCAATCCTTTTCCTAGAGTGTGTCTATCTCCAGATTTAAAGTCCCATGTTAAATTTTCAGATTTTATCAGGGCCTCTAATGCTTGATTGAGACTGTGTTCCAAGTGCCTTTCTTTCTGCCTCATAATTCTGTGGGACTGTTGGTAGTTTTTGCAGTTCATGCTGTTGTTTATTAGCACCTTGTCCTGCTTTTCAGCTTACTACCTATGTAAACACCTCAGAAGGGAATCCAGTGCTGCATTTGGATCATGACTCTGAGCTTTCTTTATCTTTTTGACCTTTAATATAAGTTCTCACAGTAGTTCTCCAGTATCTTGAAATAGATGCCACAATAAGTTGGGTCGCAGCTTATTATTTATTCTTAGAAAAAGAACATGAAAAAGGTTTATGTAGAGGTTGGGTGGGGTGTAGCACAGTAGTAGAGTGTGTGATTAGTATGCACTACTAGGCCTACATTCAGTCTCCAGCACTACAGCAAATAAAAAAATAAAACAAAACAAAATTTACTGGAAATAAAGTCTTACTTCGACTTGGACTTCTTAGACATCTATAGAAATGATCTGTTTCATTTCATTTGTAAATGAATAATGCTGTGGGGTATTATGAGTCCTTTACTGTTTATCCATTTTTATTTCTGCAGATTTCTTAAGACTATCACTTGATGGCTTGTCAGATGTTTTGGTGCTGTATTGCTGTACCATACCTAAACATTTCTGAGAAATACTAGACTAGATACCTTATCTTTAGAAAGGGAAACAGTGCCATTTTTGTTCAAGACCTCCTGAATCGACAAAAGTACTTACTTGAGCACTACACTTCTCAGGAAGTTATTACTTATTACTGCCGTTTGAAATGTTAACCATTTTTCGTAGTTCTTATCTTGGAACACACACTGTGAATGGAACAACTATAGTACCCTATTGTAGTCCATCTATTTAATTTCCTTGTAGAAAATATGCAAACTGAGAGAGGGTTTTTAAAACAAAAATATATTGAAGTATTTCAGGTAAATAACTCTTTAGAAGGAAATAGAACGTCATGTCAGTGAGAGAAATTACCGGAGAATCCAAGTGGGATTCTCCACATAACTCTCCTAACAGCAGAATCTTTTAGATAAAACTTATTCTATATGAGAGTTAATTTACTCTTCATACTAAAAGTCTCTATTTTATGAAATTACATGTATTTCATTGCTCTGTGACCAAAAGATGAGCTCGAGTGCTCTACCTTTCTGATGAAAGTGCTTTTCTCAGTAGTATGTCAGACATTACTATAGTATAAGGTCAGAAGTGACCCTGTCTTCATCTCCTTTATTAGTTTGGTGCGGGCAAGTGAAAAGGCCTCTTAGATTTGCTCTTGTAGCAATGTGGCCCTTTTGGTTTTTATTGCTGTGTGATGTTCCCAGCTGGTTTAAATTCTAAAAACTTAGGCTGCTTCAGCTATCTATACACATTTTGGCCAGGTAGCACTTTCAGAAGTGGTTGGGTAACATCATAGAAAATAATGGATTTTAGTAACCTGGACCTTTTTGGCTGGCTTACTCAGTTATAATCCCTACATATAATATCTTTTACAGATTAATGTCGCAGGAATAATTCATGAATGAACTAACTCTGCTTTGCTTTAGTGTTGCTGTGTACTACCCTAAATTTTTGGTCACAGTCACATCTTTTTTTCAGGAAGGTCAAATACTAGTTTCATACTTCACTGTCTTGATGCAACAGTATTAGCAGGTGCCATGTTGACTTTTCCCAAAATCAAGTCTTTGGGAACTGAGTATTTAGGAACATCTGTCTAAAATATATTTCATACTATTTTATATAGTGATTATAGATAGTGATCATTGGACTTTAGTGTCCTCCTCAATCAAATGGAATGGCAGTATTTCCTGATATCGTATTTTAGTGTACTGAGATGGTTAAAAAGTAAGTTGATACTTTCATAACTTTTGATATAGTTACTATACTTTTCTTTTTGAAAAATTATGTAACATTTTATTTCACTTTGTTTTTTACTAGCATATATATTTTAATACATTTGTTTATGGAGACAGCTTATCTTTGTCATATTTTATTTTTAGGTCAATTTTATTAGTACACTATATTATATATATGTATATATACATAAGTATATATAATTCATCATAGGGAATTTATACCTGTATGTAATAGATTTTGTTCCTTTTTTTCCCCTCAATCCCTTCCCTTCCATTCAACCCTTTTTCTCTTTATTTACAGAAGCTTTGTTTCCACTTTTTTTTCTATTCTTTCTTTTCCCTTTTTCCCTTCCTCTCTTCCCACCTCCCTCCTCCCTTGTTCCCCTTCCCACTTGAACATTTTCTTCCTGTTTCCCAATATCTGTCTCACATTTTGATCCTTATTACAACTCTACTATGAAGAGGGATAAATTTGAGATATTTCTAAGTGAACAGATACATTTTAGACTATACTCTTAAATAAATAAATGGTCATACATGTTCAAATACCACATTATTTCTGTGCTGTGAAAAACCAAAAGGGTAAATAAGGATCTTTGTGATATGAATTGCTTGAGAAAAATCTTTTTTTTTCCCATAATCTTATTGAGAAGCCAATAGCAATGAGACAGTTTCAAACCAAATTGGTAGGACAGTGTCAATAATTAACACATTGCATATATTCTTCCCAGTGGTTAATTGCTGTACAAGATGTGGACATGATATCCTATTTACAAACACTATTAGAACAAATTCCTCCATTCATTAAGAGAATGTAACTATATATCTATCCTAACCATTTTGAATACACAGATACAAAATGGACATTCATCTATATCCCCGAAAAATCTATTTTTTAAGAATAACAATGAAAAACTTTTACTCAAAAATTAGTCTTTATTTATAATAGATATTTAGACCATAGCCCTCTTGGGATAAAGGACAGATGTCAGATTCAGCTAACATTTTTTTAAAACTTGAGGCTCAAGATTATAAATAGGTAAGATGTCAAAATTTAGTGGAGAAAATTTTTGGTGAATCTCATCAAATTTTTACCATTGTTTTACTAAATTGAAATAGGTTGCTGGAAATGTAAAACAGAATCTTTAGAATAAAAAAGGAATTTGAGAAATTTATTGAACACCATAGCATATGGTCAGATAACAACTTTCAATTTTGTAGAAGATGAAAACAAAGGTGCTTTCATTGTATATTCAAGTCTGAATGTGGCTAGTTACTAGGCAGTTATTAATAACAGATTACCTTTTATTCTCAATATTTAATAACATTAAAATGGCATCACTTTGAATTATTTTTAGTAGAAGTGATAAACTTAGAAAAGTCACATTTTCATCTGTTATGTAAATTTAAAAGAATGGCAGTTAAATTTAAGAATTGGTTTATAACTGTAAATAGAGTTAAAGTAATTAATCATGTGTGTGTCAAAATGTCTTGTTAACCAATATAACTAATGTAATAAAAACCATAACAATGTG